ACTAAACTAATTAAGTAGAAGGTCACTACACACACCACACAGGGAGATTCTGCACATGAAACACAATATAGCAGTTATAGATACAGTAGACCACATCTTTGGAAATGAAAACACTTGAACTGATTTCTTTTGAAGAGCCAACAGCGAACAGCTTTGTCTTTGCAAAGAATTCAATCCATTCCCCCTAATGAACATATGCCCCAGATAAAGAGCAGCTCTCTGGAGTCGTTCTTTTTTGTAATCAGATATAAAAGCCAGCTACTCTTTCAACAGAATGACCGTGAAAAAAAGAAAAACAATAGACAAAGAGGAGCAAGAATGAAATGGAGAGAAGGAGATGGATCAAAGGACGTGAGCGTGCAATTAAAAGAAGAATAATGCAAGAGTTCATGGGACGCGATGGCACAGACAGCATGGCCGGAGGCAGCTGTTCATAAAAATCACATAATATAAAGCATAAGGTCATGCTGGCCCAGGTGGTTCTGAGGCATAACTTGATATTCAAACAAATCAAGTTGCCAGGAGTTCAAACCCGCCTGGAAGACCCAGGAGCTCCAGCTCTGCACGAATATGTCTTCTGCCGAAGTTCAAGTCATTCCTAATTAAGGAGGAAGTTAATTAAACAGGTACAGTATATTGTGATGATTTTGCAATTTTTTCATAAATTAATTGAAATCCCTCTAGACTGCCTAAAGATAGAGTGGGTGTGCAGGCTAATCGGAACTCATGGGAAAACAGAGCAGAGAGAGACGGAGGCCAGGGAAATGAGAACACCAGAGCAAAAATATAAGAGTGCTAGAGAGTGAGGCGAGAAGAGGGAGGGAGGGAGGAAAGAGGAACAGCTGAAATGCAATGAGGGGATAAGGCTGAGAAAAATACAACAATGGATTATAAAGGGTTCATGTTGACAGCAACAACAAAAGAAGGAATGCCTGAAAGGTCTGACATTTTGGGAAATACATTTACAGACTCTTTTGCTGATAGTTAGCTGAAAAGATCAATACAACTCTCCTTGCATGGCCTGCATGGTGAATATATAGCTTGAACCAGTAAGTAGTTAGCCTATAAAGACTTAAAACAGGTTGGAAGTATTGCACTATCCAACGGTGCTGGAAAAGTCTTGAATAAGAAATAGGTAAACAACCGCCCATAAATATTAGGGGTGCAACGATACACAAAATTCACGGTTTGGT